AAAATGAAACGTGTATGTGAAATCTATTACCTATATGGTATATACTTCATGTTCAGATTTTATATTATGTTCGATAAAATGAATTTAATCTTAGGTTTAAGGTCAATATATATTTAAAATAAAAATCGTATTCAATAACGTTATGATATTTATTTTCTTTTTAAAATAAGTTAAAACTCACTAGGTGGCTTAAGCACTTGTAGTTACGATAAGTTGGACGATGGGGTAGCCTAGTGGTTAAAGCGTTCGCTCGTCACGCCGAAGTCCCAGGTTCGATTCCCCACAGGGGTACAATGTGTGAAGCCTATTTCTGGTGTCCACCGCAGCGGCATATATCTTTACTCACTCAGTACAATGATAAGTATGCAAGGGGTTGGTGAGACCGCTTGTGTGAGGTATTCAATCATACGGCCCAACACACCGCGTCTCCCACCCAGCGGTAAGTCGTCAATGCTGATCCCCAGGTACAGTGACTATACAAGTATAATTACACTCAAGCCCCTCTCGAGCTGAGTTAACGCGGCGATACACTCAGGGGATTTCACGGTACTTGAAGCGCATACAGCGCCATTAAACAATAGTAGACCAGCTTTGTTACCACATTCATCGTCGCCTTTCTCTGGATTTGCTCGCGCGTTGATTTTGATCGTAATTCCAGTGTTAAGCGTATTTGGCTACCCAAGGCTTGAAGTATCAATGCTGGGGTGAACTCTATCAACCTCCTGGCCATATGGTCTAAGTCTGGCTCAAACAGTTTGCCATGTAAAGACAACTTCGGATTTAATGATTCATTGAGTCTCAATCTCATTAAAATCAGATCTTAGTTCTCGCTGCCGCTAAACAACCTTTCGCTAACTCTGACCGACCAATGGAATTACTGACAAGAAGTCGACATTAGCCAATCAGAAGGCAGCTTTCTTGTGCTTTACGGCACTAATTTCAAATTGGCGACTACGCTTCGAAACATATTTTGACAAATTCTCGCTTAAAAATTTGAAACCTGATCAAAAGAACATTCTCGAATGGCTAATATATGGTCTAGAGTGTATAGGTTCAGTCGTTAAGCCCGTAACTATCGTAAAGTAAGACGAGTTCTATGGATGAACAACTTCTTTATTACAATTGGTGCGACGTTTCGGTGTAGATCCTAACACCTTTATCAAGCAAGTGATGGATAGGGCTAAACAACATAGGTATATATACACTTATTGACATCTAAGTTGTTACAGTGACTAGTTGATGTAACAACTTAGATGTCAATAAGTGTATATATATATACCTATGTTGTTTAGCCCTATCCATCACTTGCTTGATAAAGGTGTTAGGATCTACACCGAAACGTCGCACCAATTGTAATAAAGAAGTTGTTCATCCATAGAACTCGTCTTACTTTATCACTCAAACTTCCAAATGCCACTCAAAGAAGTTACCCGTAACTATCGTTCGGAATACCCCGTTTTAAAGTTTTTGAGGTTGCATGATTAGAAATCACATTCCGAGTGTCACTTTCTCTCTCCCTTGAGTGTAATTTGATTTGACGGCCATTTTAGCGTAGTGTTGTTTGAATTGATATAATACACTGTATTATTGAGGATGGACGACAGTTGGCAATATCCGACTTTGTGGTATCAAACCCGCGCTGGGTGTGTCGGACAACATGCCGCTGATCGGCAGGCAGGCGTTGGTATTGTCCAAACCACATATGGGTCATAGATTACCATGCATTAAATATAGATGGCCTGAATTAAAAACAAACTGTGAAATAATATTAATATACATTTAAACAATATAGGAAAATGAGAACTGTTCCAATGTGCATTTCACTGAGATAAAAACCCAACTCAAACCCACGTAGATATGTACAAGCATTATGTGTGGCAAACTATCAACAACACGTGTAAACCTGTACACAACAGCGATAGACATCATCGTAACGTTATAACATCGCGAACATCTCTGGAAAACATTCCGAGAAGTAATACTGAGTTTGGTATTATCAGTTGTATATAACATCATAAGATATTATGGATTTGATTGCAAACAAAACTAAGCTGGCGGACAAAAGAAAGTATACACTTGGAAATTGGATTTAACTAAAAAATTACAAACGTTATCAAAACATTACTATGGGCTGAAACAGCCGCCGAAACGCTACAAACATAAGGTCCAAAAATACATATGATACCCTACATCACCATCGAAAAACTATTGCTTATTTGTTTCATCTTTAGCCACAATCAAACATGGGTGTATACTTTCTTTTGCCCAGCAGTATAGTTCACAAACCGTTAAGATGCTATGTATAAAGAAACACAACTTGAGCAACACGTTTCAGAATAATCATTCTCAAAATAATACTTTGATTTAAAATAGTTCTTATATATAAAACAATATGAAAATCTCAAATACACATTTACAAACGCATCATTTAGTTAACATACAGTTGAGGTAAGACTCAACACAATTATCGAATATTATGGTATGGGATTTCATGGCAGAGGCATGCTATTACATGGAGCCGTTATTGTCTTAATACATGAATAGTATTGTTGTTTGTGTGTATCCGGGGAACCGCCACACAACGTAGGATAAAAACAGTTTATATAAGTAAATCCAAAGAATCTAAAAACATTTATCGATACAAACCAACTGGATAGGTTAGATGACGTAGTTCCAATACTATCTAGCATTGTTTATAGAAACAGGAGCACATTGTTGACCAGATAGACACAGTAGAGAGACAGTGTATGGTTCGTGGTTTTACTCGGGGATGTGGTGTGTCCTATAAAGATGCGCTGACAACAATCCAGGGATCAATCGGGGATCAGTTTACACTAAATATTTTAGTCCGCAAAACACTGACCATGTCCATCTGCCTGACTGGACATTAGTGCATCACGAAGGATCGCCACTGGACCAGGTCACTGGGCGGGATACCGAAGTCCCTCTTTTTGTTGTCCGTGACTCGACTGAAGAAAAAACCGCACGTTGGTTTGCCAAGGGTGTAGAATGGTGCCAGAGAATTTGGCGTCTTGGCGGTTCCCTTGGCACCAGGTTTGGTTGTCTTCTTGTGTCCGTTGAAGACCGGCTGGGTTGAGGCGCGTAGGGTCTGCTCGAACGTTGGGGTAACTGGTGGCCGAACGAGACTCTTCGTCACATTGCTTTGGGTGTACGTGTTACAATGACGAGAAAAACGGTTAGGAATACCCAAAGATTTTAGTCGAAGCGTTTCCAAGCGTTCCCACGTCAGGGTGTGGAGATTGGGGTTAAATCCAACTGTCTGAGTTCCGGCCAATTCCGTGTTGATGGGGGCCGGGTGTCTTACTTCAATCTGTGCCATCATTGTGTGTTTGTAACAAACCTGCGGTTCGTCTTCTCTCACCTTGCTAACCACGGGGCTTCTTGAGAAGGTTCTTGTGTGATCGTTCTAGGCGACCGAGCTCTCCTGTTTGGTACGGATCAATATCAGACTGATCTGCGCGCTCCTCGTCTTACACCCGTGTGCTCACCGACTGTGCTATCGCTATTGTCTACACGTCACGACGCCCCAAACATGGATACCGAACCTGTCGTCGTCATGACATAACGCTAAGTTGTCTTGTGCTCGGTCGGGGCCTTATTCTTATCTGTGACGTAACGTCACTAAGAGTTTGTTTTTTTCTTTTCTCCGTACGAATGTTTGCCCTTTCCGTTTGATTATTGAGTAGATTGTAGATTATGGCAAGGCGTACATAGAGTAAATAAATATAGACATGAACAAGATATCATTGCTTTTAAAAATACGTGTTGAAGTTGAGAGTGAAGTTCTTGTATTCAACTAAATCATGCATTCGTGGTACGTTTATACCACAATTGAAGGACATAGTCATTCACTAGCAATTGTATTTCGACTTATACACTACAACGCTGGTAATACCTGTTCACAAGGATCACATCTGACAGATATAATGTATTTCACCTCACGTGTGTGGAGTCAGTCAGATTGTTTCTTTTCTTGATAATGCGTTTGCCTGCACGACGATAATTATCTTATTGAATACGGTCCACTCCCATTGTGCCTATTCCCGTGCATGATGACCACAAAATAACGAAAGAGTTACATGAACCTACCTATAGAATAATGGACTACCCCAGTCGTCATTTGTCGTCATACATGAACAAAGTCTAATATCAATGAGAGATGTTATTTTCGATGATATTTGTCCATTTGTTCTTTATTTGCACAACAGTCACAAAGAATTAGGATAATCTCTGTGAGTAAAGAGCTATGGTCTGATGGTTTCACAGCATTTATATACCGGGAATATCCTTACTGAAACTTTTGAAGGTAAACCTATTACTATTTCATACCTCGCTTCACACTTGTGATTTCACTTTTAAACCATTTACATTTAGTAAAAGAAACCGACCTCATACAATTTCCTGGTTTATATTCTAACTAGACGGTGAAATGTATGGTATTATAATATTTATTGGTTGTACATTGATTTCGCTCCCAGGAACAGGTGGTCTTAACCCTCACCTGAAGACCAGGGAAATGTATGTAGATGTAGGAAATAGGGAGTTAGATAAACTTACATGCGCAACGTGACTATTGATTATTCTCTTAAAGCACACGTACTGTTATGGCGACTTTTGTTTATTTCTGTACACTTTCAAAAGAGATAATAAAGTTATATTTACAAAAGGGCTCACAGAGCCTTAGCTGAACAGCTTAAACGATTTTACAAACGTACACCCTATACCATGTTGGTATTATCATAACATTGAAACATGACAATCTTCTAAAACCGATAAGATAGATTGATGTAAGGGAGGCTACTCTCAAACTGTCGATCCCTTTTCTAATAATATGATGTCGACAATTTCAATGTAGCACTTGTTATTAAACATAAACATTGGCCATGTGTCTGGACAAGAAAAATAAAATATTTACGTTAAGGTTTAGATTTGTATTGTAGTTTTACTTTGAAGCGGCGTATAATATCTTAGAACTCTCTAGTTCCGGTGCACGGAAAATGCACTGCGGGGATAATCCGGCGTGTGTAAATGTGTAAACAAACCCTATGTCAGAATTCTTCCGGTGGTATATCGTCTTTGTGAGAAGTACTGGTGACAAACATGGTGGTGTCAGTGACTATTCAACATTTATTCAAGTATCCTCTAGAGTTCGTCGCAAACACACACTTTCAGAAGGTAATGTATGGAGCACCAGGACACGCGGAGCACGGGTGTTCCATTTAAACTGACATTAGTGACAGTGGGAGTGGCACAGAATATCTACATATAGATGTATGACGCGTAAACACACCGTGAACGTTTGAAGAAACTCAACCGTTTCATATATGGAGGGACTAATAGATGGAGTGGTCGATCAGACTCCTGCCTTCCTTCCGTGCCATGTCACCCGAAGGAAGTTGCTCCAAACAAATATGTATTTCTATACGTTTTTGTTTCGAACGTTTATCACTCAGATGAAATATTGCTGAGTGAGGGATTTAACAACAATTAAATAATGGCGTTTGTGTTTATTGAATGTGTTCAACTTTAAGTTCATATTGTTATTAACTGAAATATTTAAACAATAACGAAACAAACAAAACAAATATAAAGTTTAAATGTATTTGACGACCTTGACCTTGTGTGACTGATGTTTCAGTATCCAAGTAAAGGGGAGAAGTTCGTTGTGAGGGTCGACACCGTGGAACACAGAAGAGGTATGTTGACCTTATAAGTGACACACCAGTGTCTCAGTGTCAGACATACAACTTGAATGATGGGTTACTCTCAAAAATCAGATCTTAGTTCTCGCTATCACTAAACAATGATCTTTTTTTAGCGGCAGCGAGAACTTAGATCTGATTTTAATGAGATTGTCTCCACCACGGCTTCCTGTCAGAAGAGATGTCACTGTTTCTATCTCTCACATCAGCAACTTGGCTGTGGAATTTGTTTGGACGGCTATATTTGTAAGTGTTTCGATCAGGACCGTGAACATCCGGGGTAGAATAGGTCTTCAGCAACCCATGCTTGCTGTAAAAGGTGACTATGCTTGTCGTAAGAGGCGACTAACGGGATTGGGTGGTCAGGCTCGCTGACTTGGTTGATGCATGTCAGTATATCCCAATTGCGTGGATCGATGCTCATGATATCAATCACTGGATTGTCAGGTCCAGACTCGATTATTTACAGACCGCCGTCATATAGCTGGAATATTGCTGAGTGGGGCATTAAACAATAAACAAACAAATCGATCAGGACTCTGAATGAATCTTTGCTGATGATTGGGTCTGTGCTATATGTCCTTAAAGAATGTAATATTATTCCCTGGATAATCTTGGCAGTCAAGGATGTTGTTAAAACCCTGTTTCAGATGTCGTCCATGGTATAAACTACTGGAGAAGGATTGCAGTGTGTGCTAATGTCATCCCTGGTATCCTGAGAACCGTAAGTCAATGAATCTCTGCCTGTTATCATGGGATCTTTCACAATTGATGTGATATTGTGATGGTTAAATACAGTATTGCTATATTTACTGCAACATAGCTTCAACAATTGCAGTGTAGGTACAACTATTGCATTGTCTATGATGTAGGTCCAACTATTTCCATAGTAATGGGATTTTTTTATAAGTACCCCTACTGGATTATTTGACACGATAGAAAAAGGGCCTTGCATGTCTGCCAAGTCCGAATGCTACACCTTGCTCAACACATTGTTGGGGATATGAGGGAGGGGCGTCCGGCCTTCTAGAAACTGTCACATCACAATGACGTTTCCAATGACCAAGCTTGCTATGCTTGTTTATATCAAGGGGAGGTAAGTCGCCTCCCGCTTCCTGTTTAAATCTACAACACTCAACATTCAAGCATCTAGTAGAAGATAGATCTATCTATCAGATGTGCAATGAAAATGGTAGCAGTGTGCTCAAGTGTTGTACCAATAGTTGATTTTGAAAATAGAATGTCAACTTATATTTGTGTCACTGTGTTTAATTGTAATGGAGGTATGTACTTTTCTGTAATGAGAGTTTTATTCTTCAAGATTGACAGTCTAACCTTGATCTGGAACATATTTCATCCCTCAGATAAATGTGCTGAACGAGCAGAATTTCCTACTGGAAGAAGAGGCGTGGCTGGATTTTCGCAAGCCTGAGTTTCGACTGCAGAGCTGCAATATCACATGGTCCAAGTACGCCCATATATGGGAGGAATCTACATTCAAGCCAAGTCAAGACAATCCAAAATGGTTTGTATCTCATGGCATGACAACATCCCTAAACCTTGTCTGAGTTAGAATAGTTCCCAGCAACCCATGCTGGTCGTAGGAGGTGACCAAAGGATCAGGTAGCATGCCCTTGTACCTTGTGTTAGTCTGTGTTAGAATAGTTCCCAGCAACCCATGCTGGTCGTAGGAGGTGGCCAAAGGATCAGGTGGTCAGACAGCATGGCCTTCTTCCTTGTGTTAGTCTGGGTTAGAATAGTCCCCAGCAACCCATGCTGGTCGTATGAGGTGACCAAAGGATCAGGTGGTCAGACAGCATGGCCTTGTACCTTGTGTTAGTCTGTGTTAGAATAGTTCCCAGCAACCCATGCTGGTCGTAGGAGGTGGCCAAAGGATCAGGTGGTCAGACAGCATGGCCTTCTTCCTTGTGTTAGTCTGGGTTAGAATAGTCCCCAGCAACCCATGCTGGTCGTATGAGGTGACCAAAGGATCAGGTGGTCAGACAGCATGGCCTTGTACCTTGTGTTAGTCTGTGTTAGAATAGTTCCCAGCAACCCATGCTGGTCGTAGGAGGTGGCCAAAGGATCAGGTGGTCAGACAGCATGGCCTTCTTCCTTGTGTTAGTCTGGGTTAGAATAGTCCCCAGCAACCCATGCTGGTCGTAGGAGGTGGCCAAAGGATCAGGTGGTCAGACAGCATGTCCTTGTACCTTGTGTTAGTCTGCGTCAGAATAGTTCCCAGCAACCCATGCTGGTCGTAGGAGGTGGCCAAAGGATCAGGTGGTCAGACAGCATGGCCTTCTTCCTTGTGTTAGTCTGGGTTAGAATAGTCCCCAGCAACCCATGCTGGTCGTATGAGGTGACCAAAGGATCAGGTGGTCAGACAGCATGGCCTTGTACCTTGTGTTAGTCTGTGTTAGAATAGTTCCCAGCAACCCATGCTGGTCGTAGGAGGTGGCCAAAGGATCAGGTGGTCAGACAGCATGGCCTTCTTCCTTGTGTTAGTCTGGGTTAGAATAGTCCCCAGCAACCCATGCTGGTCGTATGAGGTGACCAAAGGATCAGGTGGTCAGACAGCATGGCCTTGTACCTTGTGTTAGTCTGTGTTAGAATAGTTCCCAGCAACCCATGCTGGTCGTAGGTGACCAAAGGATCAGGTGGTCAGACAGCATGCCCTTGAACCTTGTGTGGATTGTTGCTTACAATATCAATCACTGGATTGTCTGCTCTACACATGATTATTTGCATGCTGCCGAAAGATAGCTGGAATATTGCTGAGTGTGGCGTTAAACAAGAAACGTCCTTGAACCCAGGCTTATTTGATGCATACGTTCTCCTTGACAATGATAGTTGTCTGTCAGTACTAGGGCTGTGACGAGTCCAGATTTACTACACAGGTACCCACCCCCACTATTATTTAGATACACATATAAACCGATCTGGTCATGCATACACTGAGGTTAACTGAAGTTATATAATTATGCAAACGTATAAAGTCAGAAGGAATGTGTGTATAGTCAGAAAGAAATGTGAACATTTGTCACTTATATAGTGTAACCATAGAGTTCTAGATAATTTTTGCCATAAAACAATATAATCACGTGACTAACCACAGGTCCGGGTAGTCCTGTGGGTACCCAGATCCTACTCAGTGCCCACCTGACCTGAGTACCCGAGTTACCTGTCCCAGCTCTAGTCAGTACCCATGCATGTTGGACTGCTAACTTATATGTAAAGCCGTTTGAACAGTGTTTGAGAGAGAAAGCCCAAAGTGGCATAAAGCATGACACACTAACACACATTCATAATGATGTTAATCTGCTTCAGATCCTCACATTGTTGAATGTAGAATGACATTCTCCCCTTGCCATGTGAGGCAGGTTGTACAACCATCTGTTGTGTTTACGAGATTCCAGTGTAAAACATCGTATCACCGTGGCCAGGGATTGTCTGACAAGGCTTCAGTGACCTTACTTAATTAATGTTTTGGTAACACAATGTTTACTAACCATGATGCTAACGTATACAGTGTTAGAAAATGGCGCTAGTCCTGTTGTCCCCGCCAAACTGCCCAATAGTTAATGTATCATAAGGACTAGTTAGTGCAAAGATGACCAGGCTTGTCGTAAGAGGCGTCTAATGGGATCGGGTTGTCAGGCTCGCTAACTTGGTTGTTGCATGTCAGTATATCCCAATTGCGTGGATCGATGCTCATGATATCAATCACTGGATTGTCTGGTCCAGACTCGATTATTTACAGACCGCCGTCATATAGCTGGAATTTTGCTGAGTGCGGCGTTAAACAACAAAGAAACAAAATGAAAAAAAAGGGAACACCCACCTACTCACTTCCTTTTGTCTTCAATTTGACACAAGAATGGGCAGCACATCTATACAGCACCCAGGGGATGGAATCTATCGTGTCTTCACCAGTACTACAACCCGGGAGGACAACTCATCCCTCTCTTATTGAGGATCAGGAGTTTGTGAATACAGACACTTTGAATCGGCATACGCTTCCAAGGTTATCTACATTCCTTCAAGGCATAGTTTCTGGTAACACTGCTGCACTTCCGTCTCAAGCACTTGATTGTATGATTATTCAACTGGAAAATTATTCATTCAACCTCGATCTACAAGATACAGCTGCAACTTTAAAATACTTTCCACAACCGTTTAGTAAATGCCTCGACAATCTGTAGGGGAATGCACTTGTTTGATCTTTGTGTGATTGGGCGTTGGTCTGCAGGTGAACACATCTCCACATTAACAACTCGAAGTTCAAAGCAGTGGTATTAGCGATTACACATTGGACGCCCCCTTTCTCTTCGTAACCTGATTCAACCTGTCACCAGACACGTTTCGCCTTGCGTTTGGCACATCTCCAGAAATTTCTCATGGTCGGTGGTTATTCTCAGAAGTTGGCTCGGACTATAACTCAGACGCTTCACACAAGTGGAAGGCGTTCGAAGGCTAATGTTCATCTCCAGATGTTCCATCTCCAACCACTGCGTCACCTCCACAAATAGCTGAATACCTTCAACATTTCCGTACTACCTCCACTAAATCATTATATGACAAAAAGTGACAAGTGTTTGAAGGATATTGCAAAGCAAGAGATATCACAAACCCGACCCCCCCACCTCAACAGATTGCTGTAGGGATCTACATTGGCTACTTATCAAGCAGCAATTAACTCAATTGTTGCTACTACTACGGGTTTGAAGATTTCCATGGAGCTGAACTGCAAGCTCTCATTCGATCTTACAAACTGGCTGATGAAGCTTCCAGTTTTCGATCTCCTGCTGGGGACCTAGACGTCATCTTGTGCCATTTATCATCGGAGGACTATCGACTTTTAGAAGATAAAGATTTTGAACAGTCATGTGACTGGATCATACTAGTTTAATACCAGCTTCTTCGTGTACGTCTCACTCCCCATTGCCCAACCCTGGGATAAATGCATAGTGTGAGATAGGACAAGTTTAAAAATTTAATATTTTTAGAATAAGTGGAATGCTGCTCATGATATTAATCACTGGTTTGTCAGACACACATCTTCTACCAGTAGCTGCCCTAAACAACAAACAAGAAAAACCCTGTTAACCATATCGTATGTTGTTTTCACTTCGATGTTTGTTTCAGGACAGTCCTCGAGCAGCATGGGGTGGTTGAGGTGAAGGCATTTGGGCCGTTTGGGCGTGTCCTAGAGATGTTCGCTCAGAGATTTTTGCAGTCTGGAGTGAAGAGAGTGAGCTATGTTTCAATCTAGTCAATTTTGAAAACGTTATTATTCCTTCTGCTGACAAAAATATTGAAAACAAAATCAGGTGGACTACTGCCGGTCCTCGTGATACACAGGTTGAAGAAGGTTATTCAAGTAAAAATACAACACAGTTAGGTTTTATGTGAAAAATATCCATTGGACAAGAAACTCGATAATCGATTCCGGCTTAGAGTTGGTCCCCTGCAGCCTACGCTGGTCGTGAGAGGGACTGAATAGATCAGGAGGTGAGGCTTGGTGACTTGCTTGATTGCACGTCTTCATACCTCGGCAACGTGGATCGTTGTTCATGGTATCCATCACTGGATTGTCGGGTCCAGATTGGATTATTTAGTCAGTCATCATATGGCTTGAGTATTGCTGAGTGAGGCATCTACAGTTAACAAACAGCATGTGAGTGATATGAGGGGAAGGTTGTTTTTCAGGGCATTGTCATTTGCAGAAGCCCGAGACCTGCTATCAACTGCCTGACGAAGGAGGACAGTTGAACAGATGAAGCTTCAGCAAATGATAATGCCCTAAGTAATAACGTTACCCTTATAACAGCTAACAGGAAAAGAATTTGTAGCTATTCCAAAACGAACACAACAACAAACAGCAGCATGAGTTTAGTGGCTGTATTAAAACCTCATCGGAGGTCATTAATTCACAAATACAGTAAACTATAGTCATAAGAATGCGCTTATACCTAACTGACGGATATAACAAACTGGTTTTGGGTCCCGTCGATTTACTATCTATATAACGAACTACGGTTATATTAGTGGTCTCTTTTGGTTCGTTCTAACTGTAGTTTACTGTACATTGTCATAGAACATACCGTAATATAGGATGATGTCACAAGAAATATAATGCCAAGGACGTCACATAACAATAGAATAGATAGTGGCCTGTTGTTAGGGAAATGTGAACTGCTATCAAGTTACAGTGGCCCGCAGATTTCTGATTACAAACAGGCATTTTTATGATAATTCTATCCATTTTAGCTACAACACAGTTTGACGTTTACACTAGCACTGCTCTTGGTTCTCCTGTTGCAGGGGTTGAGAATAATGGAGGAGCTCTTGCAGGAGAGGGCAAGCAAAGCTTACATCACCCAGGACAACCCAAGTGTGTCGTGACCTGCCTGCCAATGTCACCCAGGTGGACGTCGATGCCGGTGTGTTGCTCCATGACCATGACTTTCGAAATGATCTTGCTGCAGACTGACAATCGAGACATTAGTTGTTAAAATGTTGAATGATGTGTTAATGCTATGTATTTTATGAGTTTGTTAATGAAATTTTCTTACCTGTTGATTACAGGTATCTTGATACCAGTGCCAAAATTGATAATGAATACTTTTATTTAACTCACATAATCAGTACTCATAACTTTAGTGAAATGTTTCCTGGAATTAAACCAAATTTAGTGTGAGTGAGTTGGGTTTTACATCATTTTGAACAGTATTCCAGCTGTATCTCAGTGTGTCAGCTTGATGTGGGAGGAAAAGTGAAGCAGGTTTACCACTTTGGTGAAACTCATGGACATGGTATGGTGCTGACAAACCTACATAATCGGGGAATTCGAACCCACAATCAAAGGTTTGTGGCCTGCCCAAGGGACGTCCAAGACCTGCATCACGCTGTGACATAACTGGAATACTTTTCAAAGCGGCGTTAAACCCAATTCACTCACTATAAAGACACCAAAGCCTTCTCAGAAAATACCCTATGGGTGCATGGGGGGCCCAGTCATCTAAGGTGCCATGATTCGCTGTTCAGTCATCTAAGGTGCTGCGATTTGCTGTGTAGAAATGCGTCCCTTGGGCACGCCAGACACCTATGATTGTGGGTTCTAATCCCGGTTCGCCCCAATTATGTTTCTAGGTTTGTCAGCACCATACCGTGCTCGTGGGTTTCACCGAAGTGGTAAACGTCTGAGACATGCATCACTTCAGGCTTTCCTCCAACATTAAGCTGACACGCCGTGATATAACTAGAATACTGTTCAAAGCGGCGTTAAACCCAATTCACTCACTCACTCACTAAACATCCTACATGTAATACAGAATTGGACTTTTTCGCACTAAACCATTCAACCCAATGAATCAAAAAATTAAATATTGATCTGGTTTAATTTATTTAATGTTATTTTGACTGACAAAGCTACCTGGTTCGGTAAATATCTATAAGGTACAAAATGAAAAAAATGTGGCCTGATACACGTACATTTACTAACATATCGATGTACTGACACAGACAGGAAGCTGTTTTGGTCCAGCAAGTACAGGGGTTTGAATGCAGTATGGCAGCTTTAACAGCATTATTTGAATGAAAATATTTTACCTTTTAATCCATTATGATTGTTTTATCATATGATATATACATTTTATTGATCTTACAGATCTATAATCAGAAGATGACCTTGCCATGAACATATTAGGTATTGATACTGCCAAGGGAAACATTATCTCACTTACCGTATTCGGTGTATAAAGCTCCCGGATCCAGTAATTGACCATGACCAAGCTTGCAATATTTACAAGCATCCCCTGGTAATTAAGTTGACAGTCTGTATTGTCTTGTGTATGTTACAGATTTGTTTCACTGAAAATGCAGCGTACAATGGGTATTTAGTTGCCTAGCAACCTTATTAAAAAGGTTTTTGTTTTCATTTACGTTTCAACTCGGCTTGAATAGAAAACAAATATAACTCTTTGTTATGGTTTTAAAAACTGCCCCATTTGTCAATTCCTAAGTGCCCATAGTGTGATTTTTTGTGTGTACATTTCATTAAATACCAGCAACATATCAGGTCCATGGCTGCTGTAATACTAGTCCTTTACAACTCACAATGTCTTGTGTGCCATACTCACCACAAAGAGGAATGCTACTGACTTTTAAACCGTTTTCAAACTACAAGTGAAGAACTTTAAGGCTGTAGTGAGGATGAGGAGGAGATGATGGGTTGTTGTTTTACATGATAAGCATTTATGTGGCTGATACTCTGACATCATTCTTGTGTTGCTGTGGTGATGCTTGCTGCTAGTCAAGAGATACTTGGCATGTGTTATGTTGCGTATTTCTTTTAATAAAACTGATTCTTACCTTGTACTTTCTTTATGTTTTGAAATATTTCATTTACTGTGTGTCAGGTATTGCACATGATTTGCCTGCTGAAATGGAAGTATATCTTGGTATACTGCAGCGGTGGATCCAAAATACATCTTGGTGTACTGCAGAGAGTGGATCGGAAATACATCTTGGTGTACTGCAGAGAGAGGATCCGAAATATATCTTGGTGTAATGCCGAGAGAGAATCCAAAATATTTCAATAAAGGGACGGATTGTCTAGGACATATACACAATGTGATGATAAAAAGGTCAAACCATTTTCACTGTACGTTTACTTGCAAAGCAACACCCAAACCTCGTATTTGTTTGAAAGAATAACAGGTTTAGTTATTCACACTAAATACACACACCCTAATAATTTATATTTTGGACACATTATTCACAACCAGAACTTTCTTCAACTCCTTTGAAGTTTTCACAAGACTTGTTTAAATAATAAAGTGACTATTCGGGATTAATTGATGAGGCGAAAGGGAGACAACTGTGACGACACTTGTGACCATACCTCATATATTTAAAAGCAAGAATGGGTTCAAATCGCGCTCATGAGTACCACTTGATTAAAATGGCCAGGAGAAAACTGTGTAACCTTGGATCATACCCGATAAATTGTATGTCAGATTTGTTTTAATAAGGTGCACGATTCAGCTCATTAGTAATTTGACAATCTATTGAAGCAACATAAAATACCTAGGAACTCTTGCGTCTCTGGGGGGAATAAAAAAAAATTGTAACTGGTTCCTTCTTTAGTATGCGCGAGTATACATAATACATGTACCACTAGACGGGGTGCCAGTCAAATGACTTTTTTCTGATGTTTACAAACGTGCACAGAAGACAACATGGTTATATCTGTGGACATTCAACATATATTCAAACACCCGCTGGAATTCGTTGTCCAAACACATTTTACTAAGGCAAGTATCTTATTATTTGGTGTGTGAACTTCAGACGATGAAGGATACGGAGAAAGTTGATTCTTACGTAAGCACGAAATGCACGTGCTGACTATGGCTCTATACTGTATGGTATAAGTGATGTATGGCGTATGTAATGGATACTAAAGCCATTGATAACCGACCTTCCCTAAACACATTCACATAGTTATAACTTAGAAATATCATGGAATATGAATTAACAGGTTTTGCAAAAGCATGTGCTAGAATTTGACCTTACGAGAACGGTGGGGTGCAAATAAAAGCAAATACAGTATGCGGATACTGTGGATATGGTATAAGAGGAATTAACGTTATATCTAGACGTAGATCTAGAGAAGTATTGTTGTAACCGGAGTGGTTTAGTTGAATGAATCACTAAACGCAGGTTGATTTGTGGATGCCAGTTGTTTAATACATAAATAAACAGAGGCCCTGTGAAAATAAATACACAGAGTTAAAATATGCACAATACCTACACATACAAATAAATCATTACATTATAACTTATTAACAAATATTAGAATCTTATATATGATCATATACATTGTTATGATCCATCGTAATTAGCATGACTAGTTTTATCTTACTGTACTCTAAATATTACAGGAGATTTATCATATAATGTATTGACAAACATAGTTTATCAATAATGGGAGAATGATGATAAATGCATTAATACATAACACACAATTTCAGTACACATCACTATAAATACATACAAAATATAAATGTCCTCACCAGGTGTATGGCACTGTGCCCTTTGATGTCACAACATCAGACATCATTTGCTTTACTTGGATACACCTGAACATAAATTTATCATTTAACTAAAGCATTTATCCATGACATAAGCTTATGACATAAAAACATATATATATAACATGATTACAGTGTAACATATTACATCAATATGTTTACATCCTTAGGTATATACAAGAACCCTAAAATATATATTCTAATTACTCACCTCATCATACAGACATACATTCATACATGTGCAGTTAGGTGCAGAACTTTAATCTACAAGTAAACAATGGTAAATAGTTCCAGTCTATCAATAAATGTACTCATTATGCTTAGTTACACAATAAGTTAAGTAATATCTACATGAAAATGCTAGTTAAGATTAACTATTATACATACTTACATACTTAAAGTATTTAAGCAAATTTAGCCTAACTACATTTACCTGAATACGATGACTGATATGATATATATTTATCACACCTAACAATATAAGTATTATTAAAAGAAGTTAAGAAACCATACATATGCACCTTAACAAACCCTTCAAAGCACTAAATAAGAACACATAAATATACAATTCAAACAAACTAACCTGTGACAATTGACTGAATTATTTCAGCGATGAACCGACAACTTGTCTCCATACATAGTCAAATACAAGTGTAAATTCAAACTGACCAGTCACTGTCACTGAAAGTAAGTCCGTGTTGTCCGTCACGCCAAAAACATGGCTTTGATTCCCCACATGGGACAATGTGTGAAGCCCATTTTTCGTGTCCCCTGCCGTGATATTGCTAGAATATTGCTAAAGATGCGTAAAACCATACTGCGTCCATCCCCTCACTCACCACTCACCACTCCCTCACTCACCACTCACCCCCTCACCACTCCCTCCCTCCCTCACCCCTCCCTCCCTCCCTCACTCACCACTCCCTCCCTCACCACTCCCTCCCTCCCTCACTCACTCACTCACCACTCACCCCCTCACCACTCCCTCCCTCACTCACCACTCCCTCCCTCCCTCCCTCCCTCCCTCCCTCACCACTCACTCCCTCCCTCCCTCACTCACCACTCACCCCCTCACCACTCCCTCCCTCACTCACCACTCCCTCCCTCCCTCACTCACCCCTCACTCACCACTCCCTCCCTCCCTCACTCACCACTCCCTCCCTCCCTCCCTCCCTCACTCACCACTCACCCCCTCACCACTCCCTCCCTCACTCACCACTCCCTCCCTCCCTCCCTCCCTCCCTCCCTCACCACTCACTCCCTCCCTCCCTCACTCACCACTCACCCCCTCACCACTCCCTCCCTCACTCACCACTCCCTCCCTCCCTCACTCACCCCTCACTCACCACTCCCTCCCTCCCTCACTCACCACTCCCTCCCTCCTCCCTCACCACCCCCTCCCTCCCTCACTCACCACTCACCCCCTCACCACTCCCTCCCTCCCTCCCTCACTCAACACTCCCTCCCTCACCTCTCCCTCCCTCCCTCCTCCCTCCCTCTCCCTCCCTCCCTCCCTCCCTCACTCACCACTCACCCCCTCACCACTCCCTCCCTCCCTCACTCACCACTCCCTCCCTCCCTCACTCACTCACCACTCACCCCCTCACCACTCCCTCCCTCCCTCACTCACCACTCCCTCCCTCCCTCCCTCACTCACTCACCACTCACCCCCTCACCACTCCCTCCCTCACTCACTCACCACTCACTCACTCACCACTCCCTCCCTCCCTCCCTCCCTCCCTCACCACTCCCTCCCTCCCTCACTCACCACTCACCCCCTCACCACTCCATCCTCCCTCCCTCACTCACTCACCACTCCCTCCCTCCCTCACCACTCACCCCCTCACCTCTCCTTCCCTCCCTCCCTCACTCACCACTCACCCCCTCACCTCTCCCTCCCTCCCTCCCTCCCTCACTCACCACTCACCCCCTCACCACTCCCTCCCTCCCTCCCTCACTTACCACTCCCTCCCTCCCTCCCTCACCACTCACCACTCACCCCCTCACCACTCCCTCCCTCACTCACTCACTCACTCATCACTCACTCCCTCCCTCCCTCCCTCCCTCCCTCCCTCCCTCCCTCCCTCCCTCACTGACTGACTGACTGACTCACTGAATATCTGTTGGAAGCATGGTTAGCATGCTGTCCAGCCTCAACCCTCCACCCACAGCCTGTGTGTTTCTAATGGACACACACACACATCCTCTATTCCTTCGTTCAAACGTTGCTGACTGTCCAGTCTTGTGTTTCAGTACCCCTGCAAGCAGGAGAAGTATGTGGAGAGAGTGGACACTGTGGAACACAAGATTGGTACGGATAATAATAATAATAATAATAATAATCAATCATTCTCACTCCCTGGGGAGTATACATTCTCACTCAACAATCATTCTCAGCTCCCTGGGGAGTATACAACCCAAGCTGCCTGTTAGGCGCTAGAAGGTTAGCAGCCATATTGCCATCTCATCCTACCGGGTACCCATTCACTGCTGGGTGAACAGAGGCACATTTCGAAAATCACTTGCCCAAGGAGACACCACATGTGTTACATGTGCTTCAGTGTGGGGCAGGATTTCAAACTAAATCTATGCTAAATGGCTTCGATTTGTCCATTGCTAATCGCCAATCAGCACTAATTAACTTTTGACTTCCCTTGTTAATGTTTCCACCTTATTACTTTTTTTCTCACATGAACATATATATGCTCTCTGCATCCTAGCAGTCGGTCTCCTGATGAAGGAGCAAGCACATTCTCTGGAATGTTGTGTTCCTCAATAGATTCTCTCTCTGAAGAGTAAAGTGGTTCTACCAACCCTAACCAGGACTTGCACCAGGTGCATACTGACATGAAAACCAAGATAGAAAGCATGATCAATTACACATAACACAGAGATCAGTGATGTAGTATGGTACAGTCAAGTCCCGTTAATCCGACATCGATGGTTGCATATGATTGTGTCGGATTAACGAGTATGTCAGATAAACGAAATTTAGTAGTATCAACGTTCGTGATCGAAAATCGGACAACTACACGATAGATAAGGATTCAAACACGTTATAAAAAATATAAAATATATATTCATATTGTTATGTTAAATTGTTAACGTGACTTGTAATGGGATGTCCTCGTCGATAGATTGAGGTAATCTAAGCATGTGAATTATCCTGTTTTCTTTATTTAAAGCATTAATTGTTTATTGTTAAGCAAGTTTATCGCTGCAGCTTTGTAGTATGCAGCTACCAGCCGACTCGCCTCGCATCAAACGTCGGATTAACGAGACTGATTAATGAGTGATTTCGGTATTTCGTTGCAAATTAGGTGTGTCGGAGTCGGAGTGCGAGACTGTCGGATTAACGGGTCTAAATAGCACTGATTTAATCGGTTCCCATCATTAGTGTCGGATAAAGCCGATTGTCGGATTAACGAGTGTCGGATTAACGAGACGACTGTATATAAACTACAAAGGTACTGACTAAAGATCCACTTTTTTGGTGAGGTGAGGTGAAATGGGGGTTTAACGTTGTGTCCAAGATTATTGCACTTATATAGTGACGTGCATGTATGTGTGTGTGTTTGTGTGGCTGCTTGTACTAGTCCGGACTGATGCCGATTTATAGTGCTAGCTCACTGAGATACCATGCCGCAGTTTAACAGGAATACCCCACTCAGACACAGAATACTGACTCCGAGCCGACCAGTCCTTGTTTTAGCCCCTTAATGCTGAGTGCCAGACAGAGTAACAACAAGTACCATCTTTCAACGTCTTTTGGTTTTTGACATACATTTTAGGTCGAATTTTTCAATATTATTTTTTATGTTGGTTAATATAGACCTGTCCCAAGTTGAGGGCACACCAGCATTGTTTGCAGGTGGTACTAATCAGAGCCGGATCTAGTATATGAAAAGGAGGGGTGTACACAACTCAGTGACTGAGAGAGAGAGTGAGTTGGGTTTAACGCTGCTTTGAACAGAATTCCAGTTATGTCACGGCGTGTCAGCTTCATGTGGAAGGAAAGTCCAAAGGGATGCAGGTGTGACATTGACCCCTTAAGTGAAACTCACGAGCACGGGTAGGATGCTGACAAACCTAGAAACAGATTGGGTGTAATAGGATTCAAACCCACGCTGATAAGTCTCAGGCTTGCTCAAGGGATGCAACTCTGCACAGTGAATTGTGGCGCCTTCAGATGACTGGACCCCCTGTACACTACTGTGACTGAACACCCCCTGGAGCACACCTAAACATATGTACCAAAACCAGCAAGACTTGACGGTAGAGTAGAGTGTGACATGACTGAGTGATAGTATGCCATGAAATCTGAGTCGATTGTTGCTCATGATATCAATCACAGGTTTCTAAACCACTTCAGTACATGTCATTGAAAGGAAAAAGACAGAAATAAAAATATGAAAAATATTTATATATATGTAACCTTAAAGTCAAAATTATATTTGCTGAGTCCAGTAGCCAAATAAGGTCCTTTTCATATTTCATCCGTTCTGTCACTCAATCTCATTAAAATAAATTCTTTGTACTCGCTACCGCTAAACAAAGATCTGAGGACATCCCATTAGGGGTCATGTCAGAATGACCTTTCATCCGACCAATCAGAGCGTCTCCTACCAGATCATGAAAGTGACAGTCAGAACGTGTTTTCTAATCATACAACCACGAAATATTTGACACGGGGTATTTCGAATGACAGTAACGGGTTTTATGATTATATCCATACAATCTAGGCCATCTATAAGCCATTCCAGAGTGTTCTTCTTATCAGTTTTAATTTTTTTTAATCGAGAATACGTCAAAATATGTTTTGAAGCATAGTCGCCAGTTTGAAACTAGTGTCGTAAAGCTCGAGAAAGCTGCCTTCTGATTGGCTAATGTCGATTTCTTGTCAGTCATTTCATTGGTCGGTCAAAATTCGAGAAGGGTTGTTCTTACGTGACCCGTAATGGGATGTCCTCAGATCTTTGTTTAGCGGTAGCGAGAGCTAAGATCTGATTTTAATGAGATTGTTCTGTCACCAACCCACTCAGTCACTTACTGTTGAAGAGACTAAGTGTTCTGTCACTAACCCACTCAGTCACTTACTGTTGAAGAGACTAAGTGTTCTGTCACTAACCCACTCAGTCACTTCCTGTTGAAGAGACTAAGTGTTCTGTCACTAACCCACTCAGTCACTTCCTGTTGAAGAGACTAAGTGTTCTGTCACTAACCCACTCAGTCACTTCCTGTTGAAGAGACTTAGTTATAGGGCTGTCGGGTAGCCGAGTAGTCCTGGTGTTTCCTCATCCCACTGAAGACCCGTTTGATTCATCACATGCGTACAAGGTGTGAAATCCCTTCACAGTGTACTCCACTCTGTTATGGCATGAAACCCATCTCCCTCACTCACTCACTGTCAGTCACCACCACCTCCATGTTGCCTACTATGGCGTCGGGTAGCCTAGTGGTTAAAGTGTTCACTCGTCACTCCGAAGACCCGGGTTCAGTTCCCTACATGGCTACAATGTGTGGAGCCCATTTATAGTGTCCCCCGCGGTGATATTGCCGGAATATCGCTAAAAGCGGCGTAAAACCATACTCGCTCACTGTTGATTGTGCTGCATTGTGTTGTTTCCAGATGCTGCCAAGGGAACAGACTACAGGAAAAGGATAGCGGTGTGCACGAATGTGATACCCAGCATACTCCGGTCTGTAAGTATTCATATTACACTTTCTTATCTTCAGTTGGATTTGTCTCAAGCTGCCAAAATCACAATTTTTCAGGTAACTAAGTAGTGTGGCGAGGCAGGATAGATTAATTCACAAGGCGATTGAGTTATTCTGAGATGTTTTTGTTTTTTTCAGCCTGATGAATAAATGTTAAATCTCATACTTCTTCACTATACTATTGCCATCTTCCCGAGTCAAGGGTGTTAACTGACTATACAAATCCAGTTTCCACCCTTGCTGAACTAGGCTGGAATTTCTAGGCTTGATTGTTGTGCCAGCAGTGGCTATTACAAGTTACGTCCCTCCTACTGACCAATCAGATTCCATCTACATGTGTATCATATTACTTGCATTTACTTCACACACAATTTGGAAAATATCCGTCGGCGCCCAGTTGATGGCACACATGATTTGCAAATCCTGCAATCGACTGAAATCTGCACATCAGTTTACAAACCGGATGTCAATTAAGTAACACGATTTTGATTGGACTGTACTTAGACTCGTTAGTCTCGCCAAGAAGTAACTAGTTCGCCTAGTTCGTCAAGGGTGGAAACTGGATTTTTATAGTCCCTTAGCTCCCTTGCCTTGGGAAGATGGAGGCCCGCATCACTTCGGACTTTTCTCCCACATTAAGCTGACACGCCATGATACAACTGGAATACTGTTCAAAGTGGTATAAATCCCCATTCACTCACTCACTCACCATTGTGTGATTAAAACAAAGATGTATGTTATGACAGATCTGTGTAAACAACTAAAACCTTCTAATTTCTATATTCAGATCGTCTGAACAATTGCAAACTTCAGCTTTGTTTATGTATTCAGATCAATGTGCTGAATGAACAAAACATGTTGTTGAAAGAAGAGGCATGGCTAGATATCCGGAAACCTGAGTTTCGACTGCGGAGCTGCAATATCACATGGTCCAAGTACGCCCACATGTGGGAGGAGTCGACCTTTAAACCCTGTCAGGAGAATCCCAAATGGTTGGTGTCTCACTTAATGGGAATTAATTCTCATTAATCACTTCTCGGACTTGCCGTGCTCTTACAGACTTCACCATGAACTATTTATCACTGTCTGAAAAAATAGCTAAACAAATCGCTTGGTTAGTCAATCAAATGCCATGGAAGTATTTGCAATCTATTTATATATCATGAACAGTTTTCTATTACTGTTATTGAGGTAGCCTTGTGGTTACAGTGTTGGGTAGAATTTGAGAGCTGGTGTCTGGTATTTACTGCAAAATGAAGTTTTAGATGATTGGATTTGACTACTTAAAATAAATATTTGATCCATCGCTGATTGCAGGACAGTCCTGGAACAGCATGGGGTGATTGATGTGAAGGCGTTTGGACCCTTTGGGAGAGCGCTGGAAATGTTTGCAGAGAGATTTTTACATTCAGGAGTGAAAAGGGTGGGTGATGTTTGCAAAACTTGACATAACATTCTTTGTGGGCTTATGCAGTTTAATGATTATTTTAATACATTAGAATAGAAAGTATTGTGTTACTGGTTGACAAAATGGAAGAAAATAGGGAAAAGTGTTTGTTAATGACAGATTGTGTACTTCCTGTCCCACGTTGACCAAGTTTGATTTAATTTACATTGATGTAATTGCAGTAAAACACAGAGAAGAAAATGATGTTCTGAAAATATATTCCATGTTGTGGTCAGCAAATCCATAAACTTTGTGCTTAGATATATTATGCCTGGTTGATTTCAGTGATACACAATTATATGTCTTTCTACAGGGCCTGAGGATTATGGATGATCTACTACAAGAGCGATCTGGAAACTCGCCAAGATGATGCACGGTTACAGTAGTCAGCAGCTGTAACACCCCCCCCCCCCCCCCCTCTCACACCACCAACCCCTCACCCCCCACTCCTCTACCCTCCGCCCCCACTCCTCACCCCCCCACTCCTCAACCCCACCCCTCAACCCCACCCCCCACTCCTCACCCCTCACCTCAAACACACACACAACAATCAGGGGCTGTCTCCTGTAGATAAGATGACTGTTTGTGACCAACAGGGTTTTATATAGATTATTCACCCTCAAATCTACGGCAAATGTCATTTACAATTTCGCAGCAAAAAACAAATTTGGAATAATAATTCTGGTTATGATAACAAAAAATTAATTTAAGTATTTGAAGTTCACAAAGGTGACTTGCATTTCACTGATATGAGGACAAATAGATAGATTTATTATTGATTGATGAATGCATTGAATTCAATGCTAAAATACCTCGGAACTTAATGAAATATGAAAAATTGAATTTTTTGTCATAACGACATACAATGTATATCCTAATTTGTCTTCCATGAGCACTATGTTGAAGGTCCCAGATCAGACCCTGATTGTCCTGTGTTGTGTTGAGTCAGCCAGTGAACAGCTGTAGGTAGAAGGCGCCACACAGTCACAAGTGTTTGTTTATAAGTGGACTGACCAGGACTAGTCACATGGTCACGGGATATATTGCATTCTGGGTAGTGTTAGTAACCTTGCCTGTCCTGTATCTCAGGGATATGATCGTCAGGACAGTCTCACAGCTAGTCATGTCGATCTAGTTTCGGTGTATTGATCTGCCGCTGTGTGCAATAGTACTGATGCAATAACTATTAGGACTTAGTCATGTTTGCAGAAGATCACAGTTGAGGACATTGTTTCATTTTATTAAGCAGACTGACAACCAAAGCTTTGAGGAGAGTTGTACGATTCCTGCAAGGTGGTTTTGTACACGTTTTCCTTGCTGCTTCCAAACCCTAGATCTGACCGCTGGTGACCGCTGGCGTGTGATCATCACCAAAACTACGAAATAACAACTGTAAGTCACTCAATACCCTCACTCACCAACAGTGAACCTTGCACACATGTACGCATAGCTCACCAGCTGTGAAACTTGAGTACTGGTAGTGAGACGATGCAATGATCATCGGTGGATCGCCATGATTGTTTACTTCTCGATACAAGTATCGATCACAATCTCACACAAAGTAAAAAGTATCGATTCTAACCTTAACTGTATTCTTTAATAAATGTTACACCAAACACTAATTAAGTAGTGTAAACGTAAATATTTTCATCAATTGTGCCATACTTGACACTGCCAACTGTAAATTGTCAGTGTGCCAGGTATTTGGCCATCCTGTCTATGAAAAACATGGCTTACGCACCACAGAAAAAACCACATGCAAGTATCGTGATACATATTGTATCGTGAGTGAGGTAACGTGATACGTATCAGGTCGCACAGTTGGTGTGTCGTCCCCCCCCCCCCCTTGAGTGTCTTGTGACATGTTTCTGTTCAGTTAACATCCGTGATACTTTGAACCGCATCCTCAAACTCCTCGACCCGTGAAAAGCTGGGGTAGAATAGTTCTTCAGCAACCCATGCTTGCTGTAAAAGGCAACTATGTTTGTGGTAAGAGGTGACTAACGGGACCGGGTGGTCAGGCTTGCTGACTTGGTTGATGCATGACCCCTATCTCAATTGCGATCGATGCTCATGATATCAATCTGGTCCACACTCAATTACTTACAGACCGCCGTCATATAGCTGGAATATTGCTGAGTGCCGCATTAAACAACAAAACAACAATCAAAACTCCTTTGGTAATGGAGGATTAAGTGTGGTAAAATCTGTTTAAAAGTTGCTGAGGCAGCATGTTTCTGTAGCATCTCTACTTCATTATTGTTGACCACAACTTCAATATTTGTTTACAAATACTTCCTTTGTTTGTTAGTTTGTTTGTAGTTTAACGCCGCTCTCAGCAATATTCCAACTAAATGACGTCTAAATAATGGAGTCTGGACGAGGCAATCTGGTAATTGACATCATGAGCATCGATCCATGCAATTTGGATACAATGACCTGCATCAACCGAGTCAGCACTGACCACCTGATCCAGTTAGTCGCATCTTAAGACGAGCACAGTTGTCTTTTATGACAAGCATGGGTTGCTGAAGACCTATTCTACATTTATTCACAGACTATCAAGATGGGTCCCTGCAGTTGGAGAAATGAGAATCTGAATCTCATTGGAATCAGATCTTTTCCATCAGCTGTTAACACATTAACTGGCATCTTTCATACAATATCAGGAGACACGTAGTGGCCCTATGTCCCCTTCTGTCCAGCTGTTATTTGCAGGAGACCTGATGAATATTGCAGAGCAGTGTTTAAACTAGATTAGGACAGTTAATGAGGTCAGTGCCAACAGAAAAATAATTTCATGTTACTTAATCTTCTTTAAAAATTGAAGCAGGTTGATCTGATAAAGGGTTAAATGAAGTTAACTTGAACACAATTTTTGTAATGTTTGAGTGAGTGAGTATGGTTTTACGCTGCTTTTAGCAATATTCCAGCAATATCACGGCGGGGGACACCAGAAATGGGCTTCACACATTGTGCCCATTGAGGGAATCGAACTCGGGTCTTCAGCGTGGCAAGTGAGCGCTTTAACCATTAGGCTATCCCACCACCTGTGTGTGCTGTCTACTGTTCAACCCTTATGTATGTGTGTTAACCATGATATTTTGTACCCCTGGGGAATAAACGTGGGTATTTATAATAACACTTACATCATTATGTCTGTTTCTTATACTCTTTCTGATACATTTATGTTGTAACATTTGTTGATTTGCCTTACTGTTAATGTAATACTTGTTTACCTCATATGATGACTGTGTTATGTATGCTATATATACCTGCTGATGGCCACTGTTTGGGATCTCTGGAAGTTCTACAGACCTCATAGTTGTTGCAAAAGGGTTTTGTTCTTATGGTCCTTAGATTTGTTTTTTCTTTTAAATATTATCCATATGGAATACACCATCAAAACACAGGCTTTTGCCATTGAGGGACATGGTATGGTGTGTTTTATAGGTACTGGAGGGAAGAATGTTTTTCTGATTGTTAACGGAGCTGTCGTTGATTCACTGTTAGATATAGTGGGTATTGTTAGTGTGTACTGAATAAATAACTACTTATACAGTCATGGCAGTCTTGTACATGTATGGCTTCAGCATTAAGCGGGGGCTAATGACAAGAATCTGCCAGTTGTCCTGAGGTTGGTTGGTTGGTTCTTTTGTTGTTTAACGCCGCACTCAGCAATATTCCAGCTATATATTCCAATGTATGATGGCGGTCTGTAAAATAATCGAGTCTGGACCAGACAATCCAGTGATTGACATCATGAGCATGTTGTCCTGAGGACAAGCAAGGCGATGCTGTCCTTTTGGATCCCAAGTGACCCTGATCAAGAAGTGTTACTGGTGAACAATATGGAAATATGCTGCAAATTCTGCTGTGACCCTGGTTGACGCTGACTTAAACGTCTGTGTGGTTCTTTCCACAAATGGGTTGAGATCCAGTGATCGTTTTCAATATTCACTTCCTCACCTGATTGTCTCGTGAAAATGACATGCATGTGTCATAAACTTGCCCAAGAAAACCAATCATGAAATTGTTAAAGGTCATCTCTATAAAACCTATCAAAGATGTTCGTGACCCCATTGTCAGTAAAAAGGAACATGCAGATGTTTTCATCTAGTGTTGCAGCATGGTACACAACCATACCCATGCAATTTGCTTTTGTAAATAATGTTACTATCGGTGTGTTTCTTTGGAGAATATAATACAGAAAACAGTATTCAATTTCGTGTTGATCAGACCGACAGATCTATTTCCATTTCCATAAATAATCAAACAGAATCATAAACATAAGACCGCAGGGCCAGTTGTCTTGGCTGGGCACGGGTGGCCCAGTCGTCTAAGGCGCTGCAATTCGCTCTGCAGAGTTGCGTCCCTTGGGCACGCCAGAAACATATGATTGTGAGTTCGAATCAAGGTTTCCCCGATTATGTTTCTAGGTTTGTCAGCACCATACCCGTGCTCTTGGGTTTTTCCAAAGTGATAAACGTCTAAGACCTTCACTTCGGGCTTTCCTCCCACATTAAGCTGACACGCCGCGATATAACTGGAATACCGTTAAAAGCGGCGTTTAACCCAACTCACTCACTTCTTTTGGAGAATATAAAACCGAAAACAGTATTTAATTCAGTGTTGGTTAGGCCGACAGAGATCTATTTCCATTTCGATAAAAAATCAAACAGAAGCACAAACACTAGACTGCAGTGCCACCCATTTGTCTTGGCAGGGACCAATGGACCATTGCTTGTATTACAGGGGATCATGACAGCTGTCTTCTGGTTGGAAACCGACAACAAGTAAACAAACAATCTTCGCAAATGATGTCAAAATCTGTGTAACCTGTTTCTGGTCAGTAGATAGAGTGCTGTCTGAGCTAGGTAAAGTATGCTCTTTATTTGATATAAGATATCATGGCATAACATATGTTGATTAAACACGTACATAATAGTCATTGCCGCAATTCGCTATGCGGAGTTGCCTCACTTAATCACGCCAGGATCCGCTGATTTGAGCTCGAATCAAAGTCGCCCTCATTGTGGAGTTTTTTGTCAGCGCCATGCTCATGATCACCACCGAGATCATTTCGGGCTTTCCTCCTATATCTGACTGACTGACTCCCTCACTGTGACAATCCAGAAATATACTCACTCATTGTGATAATATCACCCACTCGCTCACGTTTACTGTCACCTGTATCGAGTTGCCGCGATACCACATGGATCAGCACATTTCGGGAAACTTTGATCCAGAGCAAGCCTCACCCAAGAGACGTCGCTCCCTATCCGTTTGTCATCCTATCAGTTTTACGACGTTCAGAGACTATGATCGCCAACCTGCTGCTACCACAACGAATCATTCCTCCGACACCAACCATTATTTTCCCGAGGCAAGGGAGTTGACTGACTTTAAAAGTCTAGT